GCTGAGAGAACTCTGACACAAACTGCTCTTTCAGGAACAGCTGTGCCAGAGCTTGTGACTGACCCAAGGTCACATCAGCAGGTGCAAGTGGAGGAGTGGGGAATCAAACCCGGTTCCCCCAGATTAGAGTCCGCACACTTAACCACTACACCAAACTGGCTCTCAAACTGGTGGGAGAGAAGAGCGAGAGTGAGCAGGGAGGGAGGCAGATGGAGCCGGGGAAATTATTTCCGCCAGCATCTGTGCCCCCTTCCCTCTCAGGAACTCTGTCTGACCCCTGACCCCAGCCCTCAAAGTGACTCCAGCATAGCGGGCATTGGTGCTGCCTGGGGGAATTGAGGGATGTTCCTTGACCACACATAGCAATGTGATGTTTATGTTCTAGCCCCTGTCTAGTTTCTGAGACATTGATTGAAAGCTTCCTAATTAGGGTCAATTAGGGTCAGTTACTGACCTTGATGGACCAATGGTCTGAGTCAGTGGCCTTAAGGGTTGACTTTGCAGTCGCATGCATTCCCACTGCACTGGCTTCCCCCCCCTCTGGTTTATTTATTTGTGTATTCTATATGCATTCTGCATCTGCAAGCAAAACCTGCATTTTTGGAGCTAACTGGCTGTCAACCCCTCCTTCCCTCCCTCCCTCCCTTCATGATTCTACAAAAAGAAGAAGAGATTGGATTTATACCCCACCCTTCACTACCCAAAGGAGTCTCAGAGCGGCTTACAAACTCCTTTCCCTTCCCCTCCCCACCACAGACACCCTGTGAGGTAGAAGAAGAAGAAGAAGAGATTGGATTTATATCCCGCCCTTCGCTACCCGAAGGAGTCTCAGAGCGGCTTACAAACTTCTTCCCCTTCCCCTCCCCACCACAGACACCCTGTGAGGTAGAAGAAGAAGAAGAAGAGATTGGATTTATATCCTGCCCTTCGCTACCCAAAGGAGTCTCAGAGCGGCTTACAAACTCCTTCCCCTTCCCCTCCCCACCACAGACACCCTGTGAGGTAGAAGAAGAAGAAGAAGAGATTGGATTTATATCCCGCCCTTCGCTACCCAAAGGAGTCTCAGAGGCGGCTTACAAACTCCTTCCCTTCCCCTCCCCACC